CCAATGTTGCCCTTGCTTTTTCTCTGGCTCCCCACATATCTGCCTTGTTCCAGTCCTGTGAATTTTTTGCAATCCTTTCTGCATATTGGAACCAGGGATGTAAATACCTGTTAATTAAGTACCTGTTTAAACTCCCCTAATGTTATCAGGTAAATGGTTAACTGATAGCATGTGTTTAACAGGGACCGGCCCCCACCTGTACTCACTTGTTCTTCAGGCAGCAGCAGTGGGCTGAGAAAACTCTTCTGCTGCTGCCACCAGCAGCTTCGCAGCGCTGCAGCTTCCAGTGGGCTAGGAAAGCCCCTCGCCTGATGCTGCCAGGGGCTGGGTCCAGCTGCAGGCAGCAGCAGGGGGTCCTGGCATAGCCCCTGTAAAGCCACAGGTGGCAGCAGCAGCTGGGAAAGCCCCTCGCTTGCTTCTGCTACCCACACATAGCTGCCCAGGGGCCAGGACTACAAGCAGCTGTGCCAGGATCCATAGAGCCGTGGCCTGGTTTGCTACCAGTAATGCTACCTGGTTTGCTACCAGTAGTGGGTATGCATGTGTCTTGGGGTGGATGGCGGGTAAGGGGCCAGGGTCGTGCTGCTGCAAGGATTGGGCCCCTCATGGCTCTCCTGCTTCTTCCCTACTGTACTATGTACTAGTCCCCACAACCTCCTCCTCCCTCCCTCCTGGCTGCCCCGCTGCCATCACGGGCACGATGTCACTTCCTTTTCTCCCCCTTCCCTACCAGACTGCTCTCCATCCCACACTAAACGATAACCAGTAGGGCATTACTAGTTATTAATATAAGAATGGTTAAATGTTTAACTGTACACATCCTTAAATGGAGTAACTTCAACAGGAGAGGTGGAGGGTGTCTTGATCCCGCTCCAACCATAGTGTATAGTTTGTCTTTTAGTGTACTCTACTTGGACATGAGAGAGTGGTTTGAACCCATTCCAGCTGAGGAATGCATTTAAACCTAGGTCCCTTCTGTCTAAGAGCCATAGGTGACATGTGGGAGGGGCATGAGGGCACATGTCCCTCCCCACCAAGATTGGCCCTCACTGGCTTGGGTGCTGGCCAGTGCCCCCCCTGAGATTGGCGCTGGGCAGCACTGAGAAAAGTGTTGGTGGCACTTCCAGTTCTGCTGCCGGCACTGATCAGCTTCTAGGGAACCTCGCCTCCCTTCCCCATGATTGGTGATTGGCCACTGCTGCCCCCCAGACTCTGGAGGCACCAGTTGCCCATGATAAGAGCAGTAGGCATAGATGGCATCTTTACATGTGGTCTGAGGCAGGGGAGGGGGCACTTTAAAGCTCTGACGAACTTTTGTTAAAGTGCCCCTACCACCGTTTTGAGACACAGGGACCTTGAACACATGAGACACCTAGGCTGCTGGGACATGCTAATTAGCAATCTTCAGTAGACTCGATTAATTGATGTCCCACATGTCTACAGGCATCCGAAGTGACTCTGTGTGTGGGTGGGTTTTAAAAAAAAAAAAAAGGATGGATCCTGCTTGGTTCTTTCAAAGGATGGATGTAGCTATGTACTGTGTGGGAGATTTTTGGGCTCCGAGTTCTGGTTGAACACAGTTGCTTGCCTGGAGCCCTGAGTTAGGTGCGTAAGAGCCAGAGTATCACTGTTCTGAGTATTTACCTAAGAATTTACTGCTGATGAGCTCTAGGCAGCCTCATATCCAGCTCTACTTGTGCATTGTACAAGGAACCTTAGCAATTCTGGAGTTTGAATTCAATTTGGGGGCTAGGCTCTAAATGGTAAGGATTGCAGCTCGAGTTTTTTATTAGATCTACCCCTTTGAATTTTTAAAGGCCTGAGAGTTCCAGTAGAATAACTTTCATTAGGGTTAGTAAATCTTTTGCTTGGTGTAAACAGAAAAAAAATGTAAACTGGGAATTTGGAGCTAGTTCAATCAACTGTTAAGTTTGACAGGACAACAATGTCGCTCATGGGACATTGGAGTTAATGGCAAAACTCCAACAGACTTCAGCAGAGCCAGAATTTCTTCTCATGTGCATCTCTCTTCATACTTATAAATCTAAATGGGTTGTCTTGGATTGAAAGGAAAATTGCTTCTTTTTTTTTTTTTTATTCCCCCAGGTGTTTGTTTTTGGACTAAACTGTAGTAATTGTTTGGGGACTGGAGATAATCAGAGCACAATAGTACCGAAGAAATTAGAAGCCTTATGTGGAAAGAAGATTAGCAGCCTTGGTTACGGAAGTGGACCTCATATTGTACTTAGCACTGAAGGTAGAAAATAAATATTTAGTATGTAAAATGTAAGTTACAGATTATTTTAGAATAAGCAAGAATGGAATCAGAGAGATCTTGAAATTCCAGTATAGTGGAGCTTTTGTGGATTTCTGATGCTGGGCAGGCAAAGATCACATGCAAGTTCCTCCACTTGTCTAAATTTGTACTTCTGTCAACAACTTAGGATTCAATCCATTGATTACTGAAGTCAGTTCATGCCAGTTTAAGCATCTGACCCCAAATTTGTGGCATGATGGTGACATCATTATTCTCTATGGAATCAAGGCGTGCAAATGACTAATTCTTAGAAATTAATGGTCAATTAAAATGCTATAGCCAAATGCTGTAGTCTTCGGAATCCAATTGTATATACAGCAAATTCTTAGCTTCCAAAACACACAACTCTTCTAAAGGAAGAAGGCAAGGGTTCTCAATACTGGATGGGTAAGAAAAAGTGGCTATTGGAATAAAATTGGAAGTCAGACTGTAAGATCAGGATGTAAAGTTAGGTAAACACTAGTTTGACGATGCTGACCAAAACGTTTGGGGCTTTGGGACTGTTTAAACCAAACATTATAATGTTTGGATTCTAAACAGTTGTTTTAGGTTTGGCATAGTTAATGCATATGAGCTTGAATGATGGAGCATAAGTTGTTTTTAATAAGTTGGTATCATTTTATTTTTGGTAACCAACACAAATGAGTCATTCATTTTCTCTAAGTTGTTGCCTTATTATTTTATGTATTTACTATTGCATTGTGAGCATGTTGAAATGAATTACCATTTGGGAAAGGTGATATTAATAGTGATTCAACTTTTCATAGGGCCTCATTGGGCAAAACCCTCTTTCAACATGCCTTTTGTCAAGTTAAGGCAGACATTTATTTAGTACTTTTTAACAGGAGTCTGAGAAAAGGGGAAAACTGCAGTGAGTGAATGGGGGCTACTTTGGAAAATCCCACAAGTTTCAGTTCCAAGAAAGAGAGGGAAACTGGATGAAGTTTTAGTGTTTTCCACACAAAGTTGCTTTGTATGTAGCTTCCATTATTGGATAGGAAAATTCATAGGTTTGAACTGGGTGGGGAATGGCTTGTATTTATACTGCATGGTTAAGATTGATGTGCACTGCCTGGTTAAAGGGAGGTACGTTTGCTGCCAATTTTATAAAAGGGATGGAGTGAAACATATTCATTTTGTGCTAAATTTAATAAAGCATTTCTTGCATGTTAGTTGTGATGTTTGTTATATTCCTGTGCTATTAGTTGTTTTGCCAAAATGGTCTCAGGCTTGTGTCACTGTGTATCTGTTCATGGTTAAACTGCAGAAGGAGAATTAAACCACTGTTCTAGAGTTTACACATATTACAGTTCCTGCAATATTCTCCCTACTTGCTGAGTCATTCATCTTTCTGTATTTTGCAGCTAGATATAAATAATAAAATCATTCTGTAAGTATTTTAACTCAATGGACATCTTAATTTCTTTGGAATCTGTGGTGGTGATTCGTGTTTGTGATATCTTACACAGATGGTGAAGTTTATGCTTGGGGACACAATGGTTACAGCCAGCTTGGGAATGGCACAACCAATCAGGGCATTACTCCTATTCAAGTATGTACCAATCTCCTAGTAAAGAAAGTGATTCAGGTAGCATGTGGCTCTCACCATTCTATGGCCTTATCATCAGATGGAGATGTAAGTCATCTTTTTATTATTATTTTATATTGAAAAAAAATACCTCTTCAACTCTTTCACTTAACCTTTGAAAATAAAGGCATCTGATAGCCTTGGAGACTGAGTTATTCTCTGTCCATAGCTCAGGTACAAAGTAACCTTTACCCCTGTTGTCCTAACATTGTGCCTCAGACATGCCAGGGGACAGGATAGTTTGTTTTCTAGGACAACTTAAATCCTTCTTTTGTTCACCTACTGTAATTTGAAAAATTAAGCCAGTGAGTTTTCTTGTGGCTTTTTAAGAGTTGCATGCTTCTCATAAAAATTAAACTAAAAAGAATATTGCATTTAAAGCTGTATCATTGTGAAAGATTTTTTTTTGTCTATACTATTCCTTACTTGGAGAATTCTACTAGAAAAGGTAGACAAGTTTCATTGGGTAAATGTGATATCTTTTATTAGACCAACTAAATAGTTGGGAAAATTGTTCTTTGCAGGCTTTCGGGTGCAAAGCTTCAGGCAGAGCCTGAAGAAGGGTGTTTACAACTTAATGTATTAAATCAATACTTTCAAGGATGGGGAAGAAAAAGATTTGAAGGTTAACTGTGAAAGGAACGTGCACACTGCATGGCCACCTGAGCTGGAAGGTGGTTGAGACTAGGCAGCCGGGGGCCTTTTGAAAGGACTGCCAACCACCCTATGGTGGGCACTGCCAAAATGCAGTGCTAAAAAGCACCCTTTGGCAGAGACAGAAATGAGGACTGTTGGAGGATGGGGTATTGCATCGCTTGTTGTTATCATTTGGACTTTGAATAATGTTTCCTTGTGGAGGAAATGAAGATTCAGGGGCTCTGCTATGAGAGGGAGGGACAGTAAGGGAGGGAAGGGCTCTTGTGTGTGAGATAGGGGGAACCAGGAATGGATAGGAATGGGAGGGGATCTGAGGGGACTGCTTTCCTTTATGGTGTAAATGAATGTAGATTGGCTTGTGGGGGTTTACCTGCTTGGTCAGAGGCAAGGGAGCATAAGGTGGTAGATTACATCTGAATTTTGGGTGGTTTGGGGTATTTTAATATTATTCTGATTCTGTAACTTCTTGTTTTATATTATAAGCTGCCTTGAGCCTTCTTTGAGAAGGGCAATATATACATGTAATAAAGGAATAGAAAAGATTTGGTATTTTCACTTCCATATATGGCAAATGATAAAGCCTGAACAAGGTGAGATGAAAAGTAAGCAGGGAATTCTACAGGTTTTAAAATTATAACTGAAATTATTTTTAATATGAATACTTATACAAGTGTCAGCATTGTAGTTAAATACAGTTTTTAGATGCTTTTAACCTACGTTTGTTCCCTAGTACTTTCAGTTTCAGGCTTTATTGTACAGGCAATAGATGTGATTTATAAATTGTGATTATACTAAATATAATTAAACAACATTTTATAGAAGGAATTGGCTGGTACGTGTATGTGACTAACTTTTTGGAATTTCAGAAGAGCTTTGAATTGTTACATGATAAAGAGTTGTATTGGTATTAAAAGTAGACTAGCTTAAGACTGGTAATATTTTTTTTAATTGGCTCACTTTACAGTTGAGAGACAAACTATATATACTACATTCACAGGTCTGAGGAATGGCTGTGTATGTCAAAGTTTATCTAGATTAAGATAACTACCAGGTAGAATGATTTCTTTTCATTAACCCCATTATATTAATGAAAGTGATCACTTAAATGGGAAGCAAGTAGTAAATCTATACAGCAGAGAGAGATTATCAGAAGTAGATACAGACCAAGTAGAGAATAGTTGCTATTGTTCAACCTAATTATGTAAATGAATAAGCCTATTCAAAGGGGAAGAGGGCTGTTATAACTTGTTGGGCAGAAGACAGGGCTCAGTGGCACCTTGGATACTGGCTAGTTCAGAAAAGCATAAGTTTTGTAGGCGATGGCCTATGATCTACTTCAGGGGTGGGCAATTATTTCG